AAAAAAAAAAAAAAAAAAAAAAAAGACATAAATAGATATTTTTCCAAAGAAGACATACACAGAAGGCCAACAGACACACAAAACATGTTCAACATTACTGATCATTTAAGAAATACAAATGAAAACTACAATGAGATATCATCTCACGCCTGTCAGAGGGCTAAAATCAAGAACACAAGAAACAACAGGTGTTGGTGAGGATGTTGAGAAAGGGTAAACTTCCTGCACTGTTGGTGGGAATGCAAACTGGTGCAGCCACTCTGGAAAACAGTATGGAGTTTCCTCAAAAGTTAAAAATAGAACTACTCCATGATCCAGCAGTTGCACTACTAGGTATTTACCCAAAGGATATAAAAATACTAATTCAAAAGAATACATGCACCCATAAGTTTATAGCAGCTTATCTACAAGAGCCAAATTATGGAGGCAGCCCAGATGTCCATCGACTGATGAATGGATAAAGAAAAGGTGGTATATGTATACAATGGAATATTACTCAGCCATAAAAAGAATTGAATCTTGCCATTTGCAACAATGTGGATGGAGCTAGAGAGTATTATGCTAAGTGAAATAAGTCAGAGAAAGACAAACACCATATGATTTCACTTACATGTAGAATTTGAGAAGCAAAACAAATGAGCATAGGGGAAAAAAAAGAGAGAGAAGCAAACCAAGAAACAGACTCCTAACTATAGAGAACAAATTGAGGGCTCGCAGAGCTGGGGGCAGGAAATGATGGTTGAAATAGGTGATGGGGATTAAGGAGTACACTTGTGATGAGCACCAGGTGTTTTGTCGAAGTGCTGAATCCCTATATTATAAACCTGAAACTAATATTACATTGTATATTAATTGGAATTCAAATAAAAACTTAAAAAAGAATAAATAAATCCAATCAAAAGGAGTTTCAATTTTACGAGCAGAATATGATTATATCTATTAAAGGATTGTACCTAACTGTAACTGAAAAACCCATAAACTTTTACAGTAACAAAAAGGAGATAAGCTAAGAGGCAACAGGTTGGAGATAATTAGAAAAACTGAACTAGATCATAAACACCAGGCACAGAGCAAAGCAGGGATGAAGTGCAAGAATGAAAATAGGGGACTTAAGTGAGGCTTTTTCCATCCCAGGAAGATTAGACATTTCTTACCTGAAGAAACTAAGCAAAGAACATACTGTGAATATCACCAGCCTATTAGTGCTGACCAAGCACTCAGAGTTCCGAGGAAGCATTTCAGTGCTTCCTAAATAAATATGGATAGACAACCACTGAATACCAGAAATATGACTAAACCTCCAATGTGAAAGACCAAAACAATAAAACAGATATAGCACAGAATGCAAAAGTTATTAGAATGTTACTAGCACTTTTAGAGAAATAAATGTTAAGTTATAAAAAGCATAAATGTTATAAAAAGTAACATTCAGAAAATAAAAAGTTTAAAAATAAGACAGTCAAAATTCAGTAAAAGAAAAACCCAAAAACCCAAATGCCAAAGTTGAGTAACTGTCCCACAAGTGGAACTAAAAGACAAAAAATATACAAACACTAAATAGATGAGATTAGAAATCAATTTCAAAGGTATAGTTCAGGGGCGCCTGGGTGGCTCAGTTGGTTAAGCCTCTGCCTTCAGCTCAGGTCATGATCTCAGGGTCCTGGAATCGAGCCCCGAGTCAGGCTCTCTGCTTAGCAGGGAGCCTGCTTCCCTCCCCTCTCTCTGCCTGCCTCTCTACCTACTTATGATCTCTGTCAAATAAATACATAAAATCTTAAAAAGAAAAAAAGGTACAGGGACGTCTGGGTGGCTCAGTTCGTTAAGTGGCTGCCTTCGGCTCAGGTCATAATCCCAGAGTCCTGGGATGGAGTCCCACATCTGGCTCCTGGCTCCGCAGGGAGCCTGCTTCTCCCTCTCACTCTGCCTGCTGCTCTCCCTGCTTGTACTCTCCCTCTCTGTTAAATGAATAAATAAAATCTTAAAAAAAAAAAAGGTACAATACACCTAATAGAAACTCCAGAATAATAATAAAGAAAAAGGAAAGGGAATGTAATCAAAGGAAAAATACAAAAGAAATTTCTAGTTCTAAAGGATATAAGTGTCCAGATTGAAAAGTTCTACCAGGACCCAGCACAAAATCAAGAAAAAATCTACAGTAGAGGAATATTTCATGAGACTTGAGAATGTTGGAGAGGAAAACTAACCTAAAATCAGCAAGAGAGACAGAGATAGAGAGATAGAGTCAGAATAATGCTTTCAAAAGTATTAGTGAAAATAATTTTCATTTTAGAATTCTATACCCCCCAGCCAAGGTTTTCTTTTCTTTTTTTTTTTTAAGATTTTATTTATTTATTTGACAGAGAGAGAGAGAGATCACAAGTAGGTGGAGAGGTAGGCAGAGAGAGAGAGAGGAGGAAGCAGGCTCCCTGCTGAGCAGAGAGCCCGATTAGGGGCTAGACTGCAGGACCCAGGATCATGACCTGAGCTGTAGGCAGAGGCTTTAACCCACTGAGCCACCCTGACGCCCCCAGCCAAGGTTTTCATCAAGCATGAAGTACATATTCTTCATCAAAAATAAAGATCACCAACATCATGCAAAATTTACCCCCATTCACTCTTTCTTTCTTAGGAAGAATCCACCAAAATATGGGACTTAAGAAGGAGGAAGATAGGGGTGCCTGGGTGGCTCAGTGGATTAAAGCCTCTGCCTTCAGCTCAGGTCATGATCCCAAGGTCCTGGGATCGAGCCCCACATCGGGCTCTCTGCTCAGCAGCGATCCTGCCTCCCCCCCTCATTCTGCCTGCCTCTCTGCCTACTTGTGATCTCTCTCTGTCAAATAAATAAAAATAAAATCTTTAAAAAAAAAGAAGGAGGAAGATACAGAATGCAGAAAACATGACATTCAATACAATAAAAAGACAAAGGAAGGTCCCAGGATAATAGCTGTTCAACAGGTCTAGATAACCAGCCAGAGCAGAGCAAGAGAATAGTACTCCCAGGAGAAATGTCTCCAGGAGACCACAGACAGACAGACAGACACACACAGATTCAAAAATTAAAATGTTAGATTACCTGACAAGTTTTACCATGTAGAAAAATTGAGTTAAGAGGCTACAGAAGGGTGTAAGAAGACTTGGCTATAGGCTTTAATAAAATTTAGCAAATTTAGTCAACATAAAATAAAATAAAATTTTTTAGTCAATAAAAAATAAAACAAAATTTAGCAAATTTTAAAAAAAATTAAAAGTCTAAATATCTGGGTATACACAAAAAAGAGAAAAAGGGAATGTATTCATATTAATACCATAGTACTATACTCATCAGTGAACAATATTTATTATGGTCATTATAATAAAAACATTTAATATGATTTAAAACTGAGAAATAAATGCAGTGGGAGATGCATGGAGGGAGGCGTAAGTGTAAGAAAACTAAAATCATCATTTTCTGTTGATAGAAAAATTATTAGATAATGGCAAAAAATGATGACTTATAGCAGTATGTGTATATGTTTTTAAAAAAGATATATGGAGGGGTACCTGGGCGGCTCAATTGGTTGAGCATCTGCCTCAGGCACAGGTCGTGATCCCAGGGTGCTGGGATTGAGCCCCACATCAGGCCTCCCTGTTCAGTGGGTAGTCTGCTTCTCCCTCTGCCTCTCCCCCTCTCCCGGCTTGTGCTCACTCTCGCTCTGTCAAATAAATAAAACCTTTTTTAAAAAAGATTTTATTTATTTATTTGACAGAGATCACAAGTAGGCAGAGAGGCAGGCAGAGACAGAGAGAGGGAAGCAGGCTCCTTGCTGAGCAGAGAGCCTGACGCGGGGCTTGATTCTAGGACCCTGAGATCATGACCTGAGTCGAAGGCAGAGGCTCAACCCACTGAGCCACCCAGGTGCCCTCAAATAAATAAAATCTTAAAAAAATTTTTTTAAATGTTTAGAAATATGAAAATAATTATTAGAAAAGAAAACTAAACTATCGAAAGTGAATTCCTTGCAAAAATAGGGAGTAACAGGCCCAGAACACATGCATACCTCTCTCACTCTTATCCTTCAAATAACTGTGGTTATGCAACTTTATAGCTTTCAGATTATTCTTTTAAACTATGCATGTATTGTTCTGCTTTTAAAAAAGCATTGCGAGGTGGGGGGTGCCTGAGTGGCTCAGTTGGTTAGGCACCTGCCTTCAGCTCAGGTCGTGATCCCAGGGTCCTGGGATTGAACCCCAGGTCAGGCTCCCTGCTCACTGGGGAGTCTGCTTCTCCCTCTCCCTTTGCCCCTTTCCCACTTGTGCTCACACATTCTCTCTCTCTCTCCAATAAATAGAATCTTAAAAAAAGTATTAAGGTAGCCCCTAAATTAATACAGTAGCAATGCGAATGGATACAAGTGGTACTAGATACGTGGAGTGAGATGTGGATGGAGGAACAAAAACAAAATAATAATTCCAGGATTCTGGCTTAGACAATAATCATCTTTTTTTTTTAGACAATAGCATCTTTATTTTTTAAATGCAATCATTTCTAAAGGTAATTTTACTAGATTAAATGTCATTTCTAATTTTGGCTCAAAATTAGTGTGTTAAAACAATGATTTGGGGATGGCTTACAAAAGAAACACCATGACAAATAGGCAACTATTCTTTAAAATTATTTAAATTTAATTTTGTCTATATAGGGATGCCAAAATAATTTCTTGCCATAATGCTGTTTAGTGTTTAGTGGTCTACTGATAAGTAGACATAAAACAAAACATAAAACAAAACAGAACAAAAAACTTTTCACCTTCCAAATGTAACCAGTTTATGAACTTTCTTTTCTAACTTTGCTTCAAAAACACATATACAGAATGGTCTAAGTCAAATAATTAAGAGAGTAACTCACAGTTTAACATTTGCATATTCTGAATACCTGAATACACCATCCTCATTGTGTCCCCTGGAGACCTTCTTCGTAGTGTTTATTCTATCTAAAATATTCTTCCCCCTTACCGTATACTGTCCACGTTATTCAAGTATGGTAGGAGCACGGACTTGGCATCAAATTGAATAGTTCAAATCTTTATTGCACCGTTTCTAATCACGTGACTCTAGAGAAATTACTTGGATCTTGTTTTCTCACCTCTAATCTAGGTACAATATTTACCTAATAGAAGTGGCAACGTAGACTGAGAAAAATATCATATAAGGTACCTAACCTAACCTCCAGCAAATACTCAACAAAATCTTAATTCCCAACTTGGTTCAGTTACAACTTCCTCAATAAACCAGTAGACCATATTTTTCTTCCACCTTTTATTACTTTGGTGTTCTATGCAACTCAGTTCAAGATTTACTATATATGATTTCAAACTGCTATTTCTTAATGTGTATTTTTGAAAGTCAGCTCCACACCTAATGTGGAGTTTGAGCTCATGACCCTGAGACTGAGTCAGGTGCTCTACCCACTGAGCTACCCAGGCACCCCTCTTAATGTTTATTTCTTTACTGTACATGTCTAACTCCAAAGTAAGATCCAAAGTCAGAGTGAAGAACTTATTTTCTTCTTCTTTTGTATCTCCTCCTATACAGAGTAGTCTACTGGATAAGCATCAGCACTTAACATGATAAACAGTGCATTAAGGAACAAGGCAGTCAGGCAATGCCAAATTTTATAAAAAATGAGGGACACTCATGTATACAGATAATAAAAAAATAATTTTTATCCCTGTTGATACCATATCTGACCCATAGGTCTTCCTCATTCTTTTTAACAAGGTACTATCACTGTCAATATATTCAAGAAAGACTGTTGAGTAAAAAATTCTTTAAAGGCACATAATAGCATATATAGTATGGTCTTATTAGAAATTTTTTGACTATGCATAGAAAAAAGTTTGTTGGTGGGGGTATAGATAACTGGGTGATGGGCATTAAGGATCACATGATGTGATGAGCACTGGGTGTTACACTGAACCAATGAATCATTGAATACTATATCAAAAACCAATGATGGGGAGCGCCTGGGTGGCTCAGTGGGTTAAAGCCTCTGCCTTCGGCTCAGGTCATGATCCCAGGGTCCTGGGATCGAGCCCCACATCGGGCTCTCTGCTCAGCAGGGAGCCTGCTTCCTCCTCTCTCTCTCTGCCTGTCTCGCTGCCTACCTGTGATCTCTGTCAAATAAATAAATAAAATCTTAAAAAAAAAAACCAATGATGTACTCTACCTTGCCTAATTGAATTTAAATTTTAAAAAAAGAAAAAAAAGAAAAAAATTTTTGATTACATATACCAAACCAGTAACAGTAAGTTATCTCTGGAGATCAGGAAGAAACACTTCATTCTACATTACTGAGATTTTTATTGTATATTCTTCTTTTTTACTACAAGCAAGTATTACCTTAATTTAAGTGTTTTTTTTTATTAAGTATTAGTTTTAAATGTACATAATTCTGTTTCTTTTACCTTTTCTCATGAGGCAAGGTCATCAGTACAAAAGTCATGCATACTAGTACCATTTGCAGCAGCAATACTTACTTTTTGATTGAAAAGGGCTGTCGTCGTCCATCAAGTTGCAGAGTCACCTAGGCACCAACAAATGACATCAATCAATTTTATGAGTTACTTTAACACCAAATATTGAAACGTGAAACTTGGGATTCAGAAATCTTCAGGTTCTAATTTTGATCTCCAGCAAACTCACCATATGACTCCAGAGAAGAGCAAATTAAGTCTTAGTTTTCTGCCCTATAAAATAAAGATACTACTATTAGGGTGGATTTGTTAAAAGTATTCACATTTAATCATTTTCTCCTACAAAAAGCTTACCTTTTGAGTTTGATATGTTTGATATACATATGCTGATAACTTTACCTAATTGTAAATGAAAATTTAGTAAATAAAATGCTGAATGTATTAAGCATTTATTATTTGAAGAAATATGATGGATTATTAAATTACAAATAAGTTTTGAAAAGCACCTCTGTGTAAATATGAGTAATCACCCTGTACTACATGTTTTAGTCAATTTCAATTTTGACATGCTAAATGACATTACTCTTTAACCATGACTTATTATCCATATTTCAGAAATAAATGTAATTATTACAAGAAAAACACATACAAAAAACTTCTGGTTTGTATATTTTTATTTCTTGTTAACACTAACTGTAAGGAATAGAAAATTAATTGGATAAACTTCATCATAGATTAATTCATTAAAAAATACTCATTGCCTTCTGTGCTCAAAGTGATGTGCTCAGTTCTAGAGGGAAAAATTAAGATGAATAAATCACAGTCCTTGCCTTCAGAAGGTTACAGTTTAATATATCTACAGTTCTTTGGGCTTTTAAAAAAAGCTGTTGTATTAAACATTATCAAAAATTGTTTTTTGAATTGCTTTCTTTAAAGCAGGAATTTGTGTTCTGAATTCTCATACATGCATATTCCTTACATACAAAATAAATGTGTTTTAAAAAACTATTTCAGTTATAAAACAAAAATGTAAAAAATTAGTCATCAGAAATCTAAAGTATTAGGATGAACAGAGCTGAGTCTTCACGTTTGTCTTTATTTTCAGACTGATAAAAGCAACTTTCTTGCTTTTTTCAATTCATAATTATTTGGGCTGAATTAGACCAAAGGAAAAAACCTATTTTAACTCCAGAAGATGTTATTGGTATGAATGTTTGAATTACTATCATAAGGATCTCAAGTGAATTCTGTACTTCAGTAAATTTCCCTAGTTCTGTCTGAGGTTTGACTATTCAAATCTCTTTTTACTCAATTATTTGAATAGAACTCTAAACCGAATTAAGGTAATGCATATGTCAAGTAGATAAATACATGTCAATTCCTGCTTAGCATTAAAGACCTACTGCTACCAGGAACACAATTTTTTTTAAAAGTCACAACTACATAGCCTATGGAGACTCAGGTATAACACTTTTATTAAATGCTCATAAAAATATCTACTAGCACAAATAGCCTAAAATCAGTATGAAACATACAAGCAGTTTACATAAACAACTCATATCCACTGTCTATGACTGCAGAGATGGAATTTGAGGCCTGTAACAGCCACCAAGGAGCTGCAATTGGTACATTTACAAACACTCCAAGAAGTCAGAAATCCCCAGATGCCATTAGAACCATAACTTCATCTAAAGCTGCACTATCCAATAAAGTATTCAAGCCCTCCAAAACTATCACCACACACACACAAAAATCTCTCAGGTCATAATTTCAGAGTTTTGGTGACAGTGCAAGGAATTATACGGGAGATTTAAGTCATCTCTCAAAGAAATGGAATACACAGCAAAAGGTGCAGTGAGGATCTTAGAGCTTCCGTAATAGCAGCTTCAGAGGGTCTCTAGGTTCTGCAACTCAAGAGCTGGCACCAAGATAGGCATATTTGCAAAATAGGCAAAGAACTCTCCACTTCAGCTATTGACTCAGGTAGGAATACTATGTCCATATTTAATACACTGTTCCTATGGGGGGAAAATAAATTCTAAGTAACTAACGAAAGACCTCTTGGAATACAATCCAGTTTTTGGAGACTGCCTGTATAAATGGTTATAATTACTATTTAGATATTTTTGGCTCCAGTTTCTATATACTTAAAATTCACCTACCTTTTAAGAGTTCAAATCTACAAAATTTTCAAAAAACGTTAATAAATTAAAATAGTTAAGCGGTAAATTGTATGTTATGTGCATTTCATGCCTACTAGGATGGCTATAATCAAAAAGGCAGATAATAACAAGTGTTGGCAAGGATATGGAGAAATTGGAACCCTCATACACTGCTGGTGGGAATATGAAATGGTGCAGACACTGGAAAATACTTTGGCAGTCACTCACAAAGTTAAACATAGTTACCATATGACACAGCAATTCCACTCCAAGTGAGAGAGAATTGAAAACATATGCCCATACAAAAACTTGTACACCGGAATGTGTGTAGCAGCATTATTTATAATAGCCAAAAAGTGGAAACAACCCACACACTCAACTGATGAATGGATAAACAAAATATGATATACTTATACAATGGAATAATATTCAGTCATAAAAGGAATAAAATACTCATATAGAACATAGATGAACCTTGAAACATACTAAGTGAAAGAAGCCAGTCAAAAAGACCATGTATTGCATGACTTCATTTACATGAAATGTCAAGAAATGGCAAATTCATAAAGACAGAAAGTACAGTAGTGGTTGCTTAGGGCTGGGACTGTTGTGGGGGGGAGTGGGGAGTGACTCCTAGTGGATATGGGGTTTCTTCTGGGAATTGACCATAGTGATGGTTACATGCCACTGTGAATATACTAAAACCATTAAACTGTATACTTCATATGGCTGAATTAGAGGTTATGTGAATTTTTAAAGATTTATTTATTTTAGAGAGGGAGTGTGGGAGCAGCGGGGAGAGGGGCAGAGAGAGGGAGAGAGAGATAATCTCAATCAGACTCCCCACTGAGCATGGAGCCCAATGCTGGGCTTGATCCCAAGACCCTGAGATCATAACCTGAGCTGAAATCAAGTCAGAAGCCTAACCAACTGAGCCACCCAGGGGCCCCTATTATGTGAATTTTATCTTAATAAAGTTAATAAACTTAATAAAGTTAAGAAAATAATATGCTGGTAGGATATAAGCCTGGGAGTGATGGAATCACTATGTGGAGAAAGAATGTGGAGAAAGAATGTCCAAGAGAAAAACCAACAAAGAAAATAGAAAAGCCGTAAGATTCTGGGGTAGAGAAAGAGAGGGCAAGGTAGGGAGATATTAAAATTCTGATAATACCATTTAAATACCTGAAGCTAGCCATTCTTGAAGTAAATTAACTATTAGACTTTTCAGTTAACAGAAGAAATAATTGGGTGCCTGGGTGGCTCAGTAGGTTAAGCGTCTGCCTTTGGCTCAGGTCATGATCCCAGGGTCCTGGGATGGAGCCTCACATTGGGCTCCCTGGTCAGCGGGAAGCCTGCTTCTCCCTCTCCCACTCCCACTGCTTGTGTTCCTTCTCTCTCTGTGTCTCTATCAATAAATAAACATCTTTTTAAAATTTTTTAAAAAAGAGAAGGAATAATTGTTCATTTTTGGTTTTATCTACCTTGAGCGAGGTTTCTAGTACTTGCATTCAAGAGTAATAACACACTTACCAGTGGCTTATTACCCCCATATTTTTCAAACTAATAGACTTCTGGGGAAAAGATATATTGTAGATGGTGCAAGAGAGCTCTATCTAAAGCAATATATTGTTTTGCTATCTAAAAACTTTCAAATATACAATACAATCTTATTAACTGTAATCACCAAGATATACATTACATCTCCAGGGCTTATATTGCTGGAAGTTTGTAACTTTTGGCCATCTATCACCAAATTCGCCCATCCCTAATCCCCAGCTCTGGCAACCACCAATGTGTTCTCTGTATCTATAAGTTCCTTTTTTTTTTTTTTTAAAGATTCCACATATAAGTGAGATCATACAGTATTTGTCTTTGTATGATTTATTTCACTTAGCATAAAGCCCTCAAGGTCCATGCATGTCATGAATGGCAGGATTTCCTTCCTCTTTACGGCTGAATAAGAGTCCCTTTTATATTTATACACCAAATTTTCTTTATTCATTCATCCAATGATGGACACATTGATTGTTTCCATGTCTTGGCTATTGTAAAAAAAAAAATGCTGCAATGAACATGAGGATGCAAACATAATTTTGAGTTAGTGTTTTCATTTCCTTCAGATAAATAGGCAGAAGAGAAAACTATTAGATCATATCAGTACTGCTGTTTTTGTCTGTCTTTACTACTGCATTTTCATCAAGTACTATCACTTTTACTGCTGCTGATTAATAACAAACTAAAGAACATAGGAAGACAATATCTAAATGATGCATCTTCACTAAATTGACAAATGACAGTATGGCTAGCTATAAAAATGATGGTATTTAAAAGATTCAAATATAAAAATCTTGCCATTGTTTAGATAGGTATGAAAATGCAATAAAAGTAGGCAGTGATTTTGTTTCATCAAAAGGTATTATTCACTCAATGTATTAAAGTTGATTCAAACAGCATCAATTTGATTATATTTTTATGATTGTGTAAGAGCTCTAGAAATACTTTAAACATTTTAAGTAGGAAGATGTTTATGAAAATGTTTTCTTATAACAGAAATTAATTGCTACAGTACTCAAATGCAAGAAACGTTGCCTTATACCTTGATTCCTTAGACAACTACATTGACATCTAAATAATTCAAACTCTCAAACCAGGTTTTGGGAACAAATCACATATAATTTAGAAGGAAAACCTAGGCTCACCATTTTGTTTCTTTGTTTAAGAAAATTTTATATTGTGGGAATTATTTTTTTGAAAGTCTGAACAAATGAAGTCCTGGCATATTTTGAGAAGATATTTCTTTAATAACTCTCCTATTTTCCCCTTATTTTATTTAGGTTTTCAATTGTTTTCTCTGTTGACGTTCAGATTTCATCTATTTGTGGAAAGTAGCTAGTTGACACTATGACTAAATTTCATTAGAATAATACTTTGCAAAGATTGCTTATACTTTAAAACATTTTCTTTTATGCTAGTTTTTTGGGTGGGGTGCTATAAAATTTACTTTCTGCAAAGTAATTTTTATATCATAGTCAAGGTAAAGAATTTACCTACAAGAATATGTTTTTATTGCACATCATATATAAAAGGCATAATCTGCAGAAAAGACAAATAATTGGCTTTTCAAAGCCAAATTAATTAATAAATATTTTATATAAGCTTCATAAGATATCCGTAAACACTAATAACTAAAGTAACCTCAGGAAGTATTTATTAATTACTTCACATTTTATAGGAATAAAACTTATCCAATACGGAAAATGTCAAGTAAGAGTAGAGTACAATGATGAAAACACATGACATAGCGGCTGAATAACTGGAAATTTTGAATCTACCATTTTCTGATTGCCAAACCTATAGGATGTTTAATCAACCTTTCTGAGCTTAGTTTTACTACCTATAAAGTAAAAACAGTAGTATCTTCCTTGCAGCACTATTAGGAAGATTAAATAAAGCACAAGAAAAATTATTTACATTATTTTATTTAACTTTTCCTTCTTTACTGGAACTCATATTACAAGTTGATGAATATAAACATTAAAAGAAAACGAAATTCTAGTTCATATAAAGAACTATTAAAGGGTCCCTGGTGGCTCAGTTGATTGAGCGACTGCCTTCAGCTCAGATCATGATCCCCAAGTCCTGGAATCAAGTCCCACATCAGGCTTCCAGCTCCATGGGAAGTCTGCTTCTCCTTCTGACCTCCCCTCTCATGTGCTCTCACTCTGTCTCTCTCTCTCTCTCTCTCAAATAAATAAATAAAATCTTAAAAAAAAAAAACAACGAACTGTTAAGATACTGTCACCAATAACGTACACTAGATCAGTAGTTCTCAAGTTTTTTGGTCTCAGGATGTTTCAGGACCTCTTTGCATTCTTAAAACTTGTGAAGACCCAAATGAGCTTGCTTATATGGATTATATCTATTGATACTTACCATATTAGAAATTGAAAATGAGAAAAAATTAAATATGTATTAATTTATCTAAAGTAATAATAAGCCCATTACATGTTCATATAAATATTTTTAATGAAAATAACTATTCTAAAACAAAAAATTTAATGAGAAAAGTGGCACTGATATACATTTTGTAAATGTCTTTAATATCTGTTTAATAAAAGATAGCTGAATTCTTTTATCAGCTTCTGAAATGTATTTTTTCCAAATATACACAAAGACATACACCATGTTTCAATCCTTATTAAATTTTTAATAAAGTTGATTTCACTTTGTTTTTATGTAAATTATTTGTAAAAGGACTTAAAATATAAAAAAATAAAACAAAAGTGGTCCACTTTATCCAGATGATAGTGATCACTATTTTCCTTGATATATTGTGGGTTAATAAAACCACTCCTTAAAAGAAAACTGCTTTGCAGAGAATGAATCAAAAACACATTTTTGATACAAATTATGGAGTAAACCACGTCTTCCTGAGTCATTATTTAAAACCTTATGAAAACCGGGGCGCCTGGGTTGCTCAGTGGGTTAAAGCCTCTGCCTTCGGCTCAGGTCATGATCCCAGGGTCCTGGGATCGAGCCCCGCATCGGGCTCTCTGCTCAGCGGGGAGCCTGCTTCCTCCTCTCTCTCTGCCTGTCTCTCTGCCTACTTGTGATCTCTATCTGTCAAATGAATAAATTAAAATAAAATAAAACCTTATGAAAACCAAACATTTTCAAGTCCCTCTCTGAAGCGGGAGGACAGAAAAAATATTCAGGGTTATATATTTAATTAGTGAATATATCATAAGTATCTCTGTTCTTTGAAAAGTTACTTTTGAAATAACAAACTGTGTTTTCAATGTTTCCTATATCCAGTCGTGAAAACTATGGATTACTTTCTATTCACAAAACACACTTTTCATCTAAATATTTTTCCTGTGCAATCAGTATAACAACAGCAACAACAATTTTTTTTTTGGTATGGTTCTAAATGTCCTCTTGAATAAAGAAAACAAATGGGAGAGAAGCAAGAATACTTAATTATATACTCTTTCCACTTAACTCTTCTTTTTTACTAAGAAAGCTGGTGCTGGGTAGTAAAACACTGGGCTGAAGAAATCAGACTGGAGTAGAAAACTTAAGTGAGGAAAATGGGTTAACAGGGAAGCTGAAATTTGGAGCCCTTCAACATCACAACTTTTTCTGATGGAAAACTGGGCTACTGGAAGAATGGGCTATTCTTCAACATTTCAACCTGGCTGGAAATAATAATGATATCATTTAAATACTAAAAAGTTGAAAAGATATGAAGATCTTAAAATGAAAATATAAAGGAAAGGGGAATTGAAAAATATCTTTTTTTTTTTTTTCAGGTAAAGTGTCCTTGCTTATTCTCTTTGACCACCTCATTCCCATGACAAGTGAGGCATGATACAGTGAACTGAGCATTGGAGAAGTCAGAAGACCTAGGTTCAAGAACTGGTTCTATCACTTCCTAACCAAGTGGCCTCAGGGAAAGTCTTCTCCTTGAGGCTGTCTTCTCACCTTCTAAACAGTTCTACCAACACTCCACAGCTCACCTCAAAAGGAACGATTATCAATGAATATACAAATGAAAAACGCAATTATAGTGGAATTTGTACCGATGTTAAAGCACCAAGGCACACAGCCCTAACTTAATTTTATATGCAAACCAGTTCCCTCATAAGCCCACTGAAGTTTCTGCTTAAGTAGACAGCTTGAGTTTTTACAGTAACCCCCAAAACAGGACATCTCACAAATGTTAAGAGGAGACTTTTGTAGTTTGAAACTCTATTTCTTGGTTTCAATTTTATTTTTAACGGCATAAAAACACATTAAAATCCAGTCCACACTTGAAAACGATAAAGGCAAAATTTAAGTTCACAGATAAAAAAAAAAAAAAACCAAACTAAAAAATCTTTGCAAACAAAGACAGTCCTTTAGATGAAGATCTCCTGTGCTTGCAGAAGCTGCCTCACTTGACATTTTCTTCTATGATTTCTCCTTTAAAAAGCACTTATACTGAGATAACAAGAGGAACTCCCTGTGTCTAGAAAAGGATAAAACCCCCAAATGAAATAATTTTTCCATCTCAGAAAAACGCGCAAAGCTCACTGTTAAAAAATTGTGTATCTAACTCCATGTTTCTCCTTAGAGCTCTTTTCTCCTAGACAATAACTGAATGGAGCACGATTTCTACAACGAGGAGCACAGTCCCTTTGGCAAGAACAAGGGTATCAGCACTGAATGACCAGTAATCTGGATGGGGGAACCAGGACTGAAAGGAGGGGCCCAAGGGGCCCAGAAGCCAGAAAGTTCGGAACCTTCTCTGGTCTCTTAAGACCGAAGAGACTTGAGGGTGGGCGGGTCTCTCCAAACATTGGTATCAAATATACAAAAGACCAAAGGGAGTTGCCTCCAGAAAGAAAAGCCAAAACCAGGCTAAGGACTGACAGACGCGCAGGCCCTGAGTGGTGAGGAGGCGGCGGCGGCCCGCCCGGCCAACGGCCTGAGAGGGCCCCCAAATCCTGAGAGGGCCGCCAAACCCTGCCGCCGAGCAGCTACCCTTCCGAGATCCCCGCCTCCCCCCCCCCCCCCCGGGGCTGGCGCAAGATGGTGGCCCACCCGCCACCGCGCCGCCAAGTTCGTCCCCTCCCCCGCTCCCTGGGCGATCCTAGCAACACACGCCGGCATCCGGACCCTCAACCTGCCCCCCTCAGAGCCAAGCCGGCGCCGCCACCCTCAGAGCAATGCCGCCACAGCCTTGTGGCGGAGCCGCTGCCGGCTTCAGCGAGAATCAGGCGGGGGCGGGGGGATCACTTACCGTGAGCAGAGCAGGTCGCCGTGACTGGGACTCGAAGGAGGAGGAGAAAGAGGAGGAGGAAAGGGAGGAGCGCGAAGACGCTAGGCGGCGGCCACAGAAATAGTGGCGGCTGCGGCGACTCCCAGCGCGGAATGAGCGCCTCAGACCAAGGCAAAAGTATATAACTACGCGCACTGCCTCATGGGTAGACGCCAACTCCTCCCCGCCCCTGCACATCCGGGTTTCTTTTCTAACCGACGAGGGAGGGCGGTGCGGACATGTGCATGGTCTTACACTTTCTCGAAGGCAGAGGCACTCTGGCTGTGCGCTCTGGGCCACCGGCCGTAGGTGGAGGGCCAGGATAAGGGTCCCACGCTGATGCCCATCTCCTTAGTGAATTCATTGTTCAACCTGAGTTGCAATCTTGAAATTTGGGCTGCAGACCATGAAAATGTGAATTCCAGGTCTTCCTTGTGTGTAGGAGATAGGAACACCAATAAAAAGAAGTACTGTACCTGAGAGGCAAAGACATAAACTTGATGAGTAAAAGGGAATAAAAGTCAGATTATTTAAATTATTGGTTAATTTCACCAAATTTGTTTTAAATAATATAGCTTCGCATCTAACTCTTTGTTATTCTTGTCATATAAATGTCTAGAATCATTATTAAAATGTTAAGAAAATATACATCTACAAGAAAAACATCCGTCAAGATACCACTTGCACAAACATTTTCTAAACATGTATATTCTGAAGAGTAAAAAAGTTTCTTCTCCCAATAGACCTTCAAAAGTTCTATGGCACCAGTGATCCCTCTCTCAAGTTACCCAGACTTCAAATCTTCCTTCAGTAGTTCCTTAACACACATGTAAGTTCAGTCAGTCACTGAATCCTACCAATTCTTCTATTTGGGTTAGTTTCTTCTTCCTCATCTATACTGCCCTTTGCTACCGGTCCTGAAAATAATCTTTACAGGAAAAGACAGAATAATCAAAATAACAAGTATGGAAAGTTAAAAATTCTTGTCAAAAATCAGTTGACTATAAATGCAAAGATTTATTTCTGGGATCCCAATTCTATTCCAATGACATTTATGTTTATCTTTATACCAATACTACACTGTCTTGATTACTGTAGCTTTTAAAAAAAATTTATTTATTTATTTATTTATATTAGAGAGAGAGAGAGAGAGCATATGCAAGTGGGGCCAGGGGCAGAGAGAGAGGGAGAGAGAGAATTTTAAGCAGACTCCATGCTGCTGAGTGCAGAGCCCAACTCAAAGCTTGATCCCTCAATCCTGAGATCATGACCTGAGGCAAAATCAAGCATTGGATGCTCAACCGACTGAGCCATCCACACACCCTGATTACTGCAGCATTGTGCTATGTTTTGAAATTAGGAAGTGTGAATCCTTCAACTGTTCTTTTTTTTTTAAGATTTTTATTTATTTATTTGACAGAAAGATCACAAGTAGGCAGAGAGACAGGCAGAGAGAGAGGGGAAGCAGGCTCCCAGCCGAGCACAGAGTCTGATGTGGGACTCGATCCCAGGACCCTGAGATCATGACCTGAGCCAAAGGTAGAGGCTTAACCCATTGAGCCACCCAGGCCTCCCAGCTGTTCTTTTTTTTTTTTTTCAAGATTTTTTTTTTTTTGTCATTTTAAGGTCCCTTGTATTTCTACATGAATTTTAGAGTCAACTTGTCCATTCCTGGGGGGAGAAAAGCCAGTTAGAATTTTGATAAAGTTGTATTTGATCTATAGATCATTTTAATAGCATTGCCATCTTAACAATACTAAGTGTTTTAACCAATGAATCCAGGATGTCTTTCCATTTATTTAAGTTTTATTGAGGATTTTTTGAGTCTATATCCATAGGGACTTTGGTCTGAAATTTCCTTTTCTTTTTCTTCTTTTTTATATGATGTCTCTTTCTGGTCTTTGGTATTAGGGTAACACTGACCTCATAGAATGAGTTGGGAAGCATCACATCCTCTTTTATTTCTTAGAAGCATTTGTGAAGTACTGGTATTAATTCTTCTTTAAATGTTTGGTAGAATTCTACAGTTAATCCTTTTGGTCCTGGACTTCTTTGTGTGGGAAATTTTGACCTACTAGATAAACTTCTTTCCTTATTATGGACCTATTCAGATTTTCTATTTCTTCTTGCATTCATTTTCATAACTTGTGTCTTTCTAGGACTTTGCCCATTTCATCCAGGTTATCTAACTTGTTCACATAAAATTATGCATAGGAGCATCTTGGTGGCTCAGTCCATTAAGTGTCTGACTCTTGGGTTTGGCTTAGGTCATGATTTCATGGTCAGGAGATTGAACCCCATGTGGGGCTCCATGCTCAGCATGGAAGCATGGAATCTGCTTCACATTTTCTTTCCCTCTCCTTCCCCTTCCTCCCTGTCCCTCTCCCTACTTGCACTACTTTTTCTCTCTTGCACTCAAATAAGTAAGTAAGTAAATAAATAAATAAATAAAATATGCATAGTATTCCCTTCCATATATGGTGATAACTGAAATTTGAATCATGTTGTCTTGGACTGGTGTTTCTTTTTTTTTTTAATTTTATTTATTTATTTGACAGAGCGAGATCACAAGTAGGCAGAGAGGCAGACAGAGAGAGAGAGGAGGAAGCAGGCTCCCCGCCAAGCAGAGAGCCTGATGAGGGACTCGATTCCAGGACCCTGAGATCATGACCCGAGCCGAAGGCAGAGGCTTAACCCACTGAGCCACCCAGGCGCCCCTGGACTGGTGTTTCTTAAGTCAAATTCTGTTAAGTAAAGTGTGTGAGAATTTAAAAAATCATTTATTAATTTGTTTTAACAATAATAAATCTATTACATATTAACATACATGATAAATATATATATTAATTATTATGATTATGGCTAAGGGTTGTCAGTGCAGATCCTGTAGACATTGAAGAATAAGAAGTAAACACTATGAATAACATTATGTCAAGAATTCGACAACATAGATGGAAAGGGCAAATTTCTTGAAAAAATACAAGTTACCAAAATAGACTTAAGGTGCAGAAATTCTGAATATCACTTTATCTGTTTAACAAATTGAATTTGTTAGGGAAAAAAAGCCAGATGGCTTCACTACTGAATAACACCAATCTTACAAACATTTTCCAGGAAAACAGAAGAAGAGGGAACACAGTCCAGATCATTTTATGAGGCTGTCATAGCCTTCATATCAAAACATAAGAAAAATATTTTAAGGGGTGTCTGGGTGGCTCAGTCGGTTAAGTATCTGCCTTTGACTCAGGTCATGATCCCAGGGTCCTGGGATCAAGCCCTGCATTGGACTCCCTGTTCAGTGGGGAGTCCGTTTCTCCCTCCACCCCTCCCCTTTGCTGGTACTTGCTTTCTCTCTCAAATAAATAAATAAAATCTTTTAAAAAAGAAAAACATTTTTTAAAAATTGCAGATCAATATCCTTCATGAATGTAGAGGCAAATTTTCTTAGCAAAACATTAATAAATAAAACAGACAGCATATAAAAGTTATACTTCAAGACTCAGCAGGGTTTATCCCAGAATGTAATGTTAATTTAACATCTAAAAATCAATCAGTGTAATTCATATTAACAGGATAGAGAAAACCCATATGATGATTCCAATAGATGCAGAGAGTACACGACAAAATCCAGTAGCTATCCCTGACAAACATTTTTAGAAAATTAGAAATGGTAAGGAACTTCCTCAAATGAATGAAGGGCATCTATGAAACACCAACACATAGCATCATAATTAATGGTGGAAGACTGAATTACTCTTTTTTAAGATAGAAACAAGGATGCCATTATCACCACTTCTATTCAACATGGTACTTAAAACAAAATGTGATATTGCCTTGTACTTGTCAGAATGGTTAAAATAAAAAAGACCAAAAATAACAAGTGTTGGTAAAAATGTGGAGGGAGAGGAACCCTTGTACACTGTTGGAGGAAATGTCAATTGGCATAGTCACTGTAGAAGACAGTATGAAGTTTCCTCAAAAAAATTAAAAGTGGAGGGGTGCCTGGGTGGCTCAGTGGGTTAAGCCTCTGTCTTCCGCTCAGGTCATGATCTCAGGGTCCTGGAATCGAGCCTCGCATTGGGCTCTCTGTTCAGCGGGGAGCCTGCTTCCTCTTCTCTCTCTTCCTGCCTCTCTGCCTACTTGCGATCTGTCTGTTGAATAAATAAATAAAATCTTTAAAAAAAATTAAAAGTGGAAATACCATATGATCCAACAATTACACTACTGGGTATTTGCCCCCCAGAAATGAAAACATTAATTCAAAAAGATATATGCATCCCTATGTTTATTGTGATAGCCAAGATATGAAGTGTTCAATGATAAACAAATGGATAAGGAAGATGTGGTATATATAAATATATACATATATAACATATATGTGCAATGTGCTGTTTATATATGTGGTGCACACACACACACACACACACACACACACACACACACACAACACTAAAATATAATGCAGCCACAAAAAGGGATGAGATAATGCCATTCATTGCAACATGGATGGACCTAGAGGGTATTAATGCTAAGTGAAATAAGTCACACTGAGAAAAACGAATACCACATGATGTCACTCATCTGTGGAATCAAAAAAACAAATGAATAAACAAAAAGCGGAATCAGAACTATAAATTCAGAGAACAAATGGATAGTTGAGGGGAGGGAGGTGGAAGATGGGCAAAATGGGTGAAAGGGAGTAGAAAACACAAGCTTCCAGTTAAAGAATGAATAAGTCAGGGGCCTAAAAGGCACAGCAAAAGGAATACAGTCACTGATATTGTAATGGCATTGTGCGGTAACAGATGGTAGCTACACCTGTGGTGAGCATAGCATAATGTATAAATATGTCAAATCACTATGTTGTACACCTGAAAGTAATGTAATGTTGTATGCAAACTATACTCAAATAAAAAAGTTTAAAATAAACCTACCATAAATTAAAAAAAAAAAAAAAACCATATACCTACCATATGACCCAGGCATTCCACTTCTAGGTATTCACGATGAGAA